TTCTATGATTGCATCTAGCCCATCTTCCCTGTGGTGAACAGGGACATCCACAGCTAGATAGGTAGACCAGGGCCAGGTCATACAATCCTTAGAATTGGAAGTGATTTCTGAAGGCCATCTAGTCCAACTTACCTGCAATGAACAGGGACATCACAGATAGATCAGGTTGCTCAGGGCCTTATCCAGCCTTGCCTTGAAAGTCTCCAGGGATTGGGCATCCACATCTCTAGACAACGTTTCAGTGCCTCACCACTCTCACTGTAAAAGACTTTTTCCTTATATCTAACACAAACCTATCCTCTACAAGCTTGATACCGTCTCCCCTTCTTCTATCACAATAGGCCCCGCTAAAGAGTCTCTCTTCCTTTCCTGCAGCTCTGCTTTAGGTATTGAAAGTCCACTATCAGGTCACCTCAGAGCCTTCTCTTCTACAGGCTGAACAGCCCCAACTCTCTCAACCCTAAATGTGCTCCTAGAACACATAGAGGAAATGTGTTCCATCTCTACAGAACATCCATATGTGCAGGAACTTCAATTTTCCAGTATATTATGGTCCTCTTTACAATTAATCAGTCTTGAGAAGCTCTCCCATTTGGCCTTATAAAAGAAGTATAAAAGAAATCATCAAAGATAGTGGGATGCTTACTGTATGGGATGAGTTACCTAGACTGTTTCTTTGTTCCTGTCTCATGCCTTCTGGCAACGTGTAAGGTGAAACTGTAATTCATTGGATGGAAATTCACTTGAATGAATTTTACTTCTTTGCTGTCATTTCTTGTCCAGAATTGTTTTCTGTTTTGTAAGAAAACCATGGATTTTTTACCCTTGGGAGTTGTTACGTACTTATTATAGAGATAAGGATAGAAACTTAATCATTTAAGAAACAAAACATGAAATTTCTCAACTGACTTTTTCACAGTGTAGATAAGAGAGGAACTATATGTACAGTCTGGAGATAACTAGTTGGATTCATTTGGGTATTCATCAATTCACTGTTACAGTGGGATTTCAGTGTTACCTTTTTCAAGTGGGTCATGCTTTTATATGTAGAATGAGGTGGTTCTCCTGCCACTCTCAGGCACTGTGAGCCTCAGCGCTTAAAAAGCCTGTGAAGGTTTGCTGGAAACATCTATATAAAACAGTGGTAAAAAGAGGGAGACTTTAAATGCTGCTTTCTGCAGACTTCGTTTTCTAGTGATTCTTAGTGTCTGTCCATTCCTTTTCTTGTAAAAATATGTGCTAAAGTCGCTGTTACTGTTAGCTTATGTCCTGTCTCTGAATTTCAGCTGAACTGTGGAATTGAACATATCCTCATACTGTTTTCTTCTTTCATACATATCCAGAGGTGAAGAGGGTGTTCATTTCCAGTGCTTTAGCATATTTCTAGTGCTAGCGAGACACTTTCTTAAATAAGAATGGGAAGGTGTGATGTGTTGATTTGAGGGCTGGGGTTCGGAGGAGGGTAGGCATAGCTGAAGTCCTTGGAAAAGAAGAGGTGCTGACTAATGCTGCAAGCTGCTGTATTAGCGCCTTCTCACTTGTGTAGGCCTCTGTATGTATTTTTGTCTGTCAGTAAATTAGGAATTCCTTGTGGTAGGGAAGCTATGTCCATCTATCTGTTTATACAAGCATTCTTGATAGTATTTTAACACTCAGCCACTGAAATGCTGCCTGATCCCATCTCTCCCATGCTGGAGTGGAGCTGAGGAGCCTTGCAAGGAAGCACATCTTGTTCTCAAGGTGGTGCAGCAGCTGCACTTCGTATTCCACCTCCCAGAGCTCCTGCGGGGTGGTCCTTACTCTGAACCCAGTGTAAACTTATTTTTTTGGGCACAGCTGTCACTATTGTGCTATATATCTACCCAGTATACACCTCTCTTTACAATGTGACACCGCTAGCCTGCCCACAGGTTTTAAGCTGGGGATATTGGAGGTCGGATGTCCATCTTGTTGGAAACTTCTGAGAGCTTGAGCAAGTGTTTCTGTGCTTTTTTGAGATATGGAAAAGATACTTTACTTTCTAACATGCAGCCTGTTCTTGAGCTTGGGTGCTAAAGAAATGCAATTAATATTAGGTCTTACTGTCAGTGGTATCCTGGTTTCTTTGTTTTTAATTATTATTTTACTTTTTTCTAATCAATTGACAAATATTATAGTTATACATTGAGTCTTGTGCAAATAGTGTGTGACGCTTGCAACACCTGGCAGCTGAAAGCTGTGCCATAATCTAGAGCAAATGAGTTAAGACTGTTACAGATGTTTTCTGAAATGGCTGTGTCTGGGTTTTACCTACTTCCATTTTAAGACAAAAGCATTAGCGGGCAAAATGACAACTGGATTTTAACTAGACAGTATCATATATTCAGTATTACTTTTGTAATGCTCTGTTAGAGGAAAAGCTGGGATGACAGTAAACTAGAATTTATGGTGTAGACAAACAGATCTGGATTTTTGCTCTAATCCTGAGGTTTAATTAACATTAATGCTTCATTTTGAAAGTATTTTAAAAGAACATTTTAAATAGAAAATAAGTCCTGAAGATTTCACAAAAACATTGATCTGTCTGCAACTGCTTAATAAGTAAATGGTTGATCAGAGCTGAGTTTTCAGATTAAGAAGCATGCCAACAGATAAACACTTTGCATTCCATTCCCTTCTGTTGGATTTTTAAAAATGGGAACAAGATAGTCTTGAAAGTGCTTTAGCACTTTAGATCTGGCTCTCCTTTATCTCCATATGTATGCTGGTATTTTGTCCCCTGTGATTCCTGCAGGTTCTCAGTGTCCTCTGTAACTGTCCACTCTGGATTCACTTGAAAGTTTCCCAGAGTAGTCTGTTACCTTCTAGCTAAAACAGGTATCATTCTGTATTTGGCTAAGGATATTTCATACAGATTAGACTTTAACAGTTCCTCCTATGTAAAGCTTCAGGGAAACAAGTAATCTACATAGCATCTTTCTTAGTCAGTGGGAAGAATGGGGGAAGTAGTAATTATCTTCTGGTGTGATTCTGAACGATGTATTGAACTGGATCCATACTTGCTAGTCTTGCATAGGTTATCACATCTGCCTGTGAAACTGGAACAACCTGAATTTTAGAGGGTGACATAAATGCTGTGCTGGCTCCTGAAATGGGAGCTAGAACAGTAGGACTGTATGAATGAATCCAGCACAGTTGGTTACTACTGTTAAACTTAGATGAAGATGTGGCTACCAATTCCCATCCTTACATTTGAAAATAAAGGAACCCTGGTTTATAAGCCACAGAAATAATGTGATGAACATCACGATAGTAACTCTTCTGTAGCTCTGAGCCTCAGGCAGGCTGTTGCAATGGCTATAGTTAAAATTCAAGTTTGCCTAGGAATTTTTGTTTTATAGGCTTTTCTGATCAACACATCTTATCATTTTGGTATTGTTTTCTTAAAACTTGTTTGGCAGAAAATATCCCACTAGAGTAAGTGAAACCAGTATGATTATTTCTTTCCTCAAAATTTGTCTCTAATTCTATGTCAGTTGTAGTTAACTACTGTATTTTATTTATACTACTGTATTTATTTATATTTTATTTTATAACAACTACATTTTGAACTGGAGGAAGTAAGAATCAGAAACTGAGAGAAGTCAATGTAGTTCACCCTGGAAAAGGGACATAGGAATGTTGCACACAGGAATTTCACCTTGCAGTCAGACATTGTCTATGTATACTGAAGGAACAAGAATTGACAACTGCAGACGTGGTTGTAGCATTTTATATTATCCTCGGTGTGGTGGTAGTGGTGATTTTTTTTTTTAAGTGAGGAAATTGAGGAAGTGGATATCTTAAAAGCATTAGCAAAGATCTGTAGCTTATATCTGTACCTTATGAATACTGAGTGCAGAGAACAAGGGAAAAATCTATTGTGCTCATTGAAAGCTGGCCAAAGGCTCTTCTCTAGTTGGAGTTCAATAATGGAGTGAAATTTTACTGATGACTGTTGGATGAGAACTGTTCAGTCAAGGCCTGAAGCACTGATTGAGCACCCCATGTAAGGGCTGACTGCCACTGGGGAGGGATCTCTGGTTGGATATGTTGGGTATCTCTCCCTTGTGGAGTTTCTCTTGTGAGCCTAGCTCTTGGATATGGTTGAGCACTTTTTCTTTTCCTTTGTAACACCTTTACACTGTGCTAATCCCTTGGTCATTACACCTCTTATGTCACCATTCCACTGTGTTGATCTTTCTGAATGTTCTAACTGTAGTGTATTGATGCCACCCAGATGCACCTGAGAGGGCAATGTTAAATATAAGTGAGCTTACTTGAAGAAGCTGCATTCCACTGGGTATCTGGAGCTAACACAGTGCCTTATAAATACTGAGTACATAGTGAGGAACCAGAATTTCTGAACTGTTGTCACAGTAGTTGGATTTGTAGTTGGAGTAATCGAGTTTCTTATTTCTAAAAGTGCTTGTCTTATATTTTTGGATTGTCATGTGCAAGAGGCTGATGGAGGTATCTGGACAAGTAGTGGTGTCTTGGTAACGAAACCGTAGCTTTATGTGGGTTAAAGTGAAGCAGAATAATTTCCTATAAAGCTCACTATAGAGAAACAAAACATGTCCACGGTCCCACGTATTCATTTTCTGTCTGATCAGTGCAATGAGTTGGTGTGGGAAAAATGACTTTTAGGAGGAAAAATACAATGATACAACCGTCACGCAGCAGTTAGTGGCTTCTTAGTTTTCCAGTTCTGAGTAATGTCTCTACCACCCCAAAATGAATTATGATAATTATCCCCTTAAAATGGAAATAATGACAAGTAGGCAGTACCCTTGACCTTTGCAGAAATGTGAGTTAAGTGTATTTGTTTAATTTCCTTAAGTTTTGTTGTTCTACCTGTACACAAATACAACAATAGCAATAATTGAGGAAAATTGTGTTACAATTCTGGACAGGCTCTGTAGAAGTAACCTATGCACAGAATGACTTACAAGACTTTTTTCTTTTCCTCTCCCATACAGATCACTCCTGGCAGCAAGGCAGCACAGTCACAGATGAATCAAGGGGATCTTGTGGTAGCCATTGATGGAGTCAATACTGACAGCATGACTCACTTAGAGGCTCAGAACAAGATCAAGTCAGCAAGTTACAACCTGAGCCTCACTCTTCAGAAGTATGTTGACATAAGTTAAAATCTTTGCATTCCCAAGGATGTCCTATGAAACCCATGACTATGGGCTGTGTGTTTCATCTTTACCTGTTAGTTTAATTTGAAGTGTCCAATGTATAGATATGTGTTGGACAGCTAAAATCTGTGGTGATTCTTGTAGTAAGTAGCATGGATTTTTATAGATATCACAATGGCTTATATGCCATTGAATCTGTGTTGCATTTAGCCCACTGAATATAGGTGTAATTCCTTGTTCATTCAGGCTCCTGATAGAAGTCCAACAGTGATGTTTCTTTTACTTATTCCCATGTGAACACGCATACTTTTGGTTAATATATGAATGACTATTCTAGAAACAATTATCATAAGTGTTCTGATCCCATGGATTGAATCTCTCATTCCCAGAGTGAGAATTTTTATTAATGGTTTGGCACCTCTGAGTTCACACTGAGTGACCTGTCTGCATTTGATAGGGTAAAAAAAGGTGTAGCTTCAGTGCAGGAAAGGAAAACATCTGAATGCAAAAAGGGGAGACATTCTCACAGAAATGTGATAGAAGTCAGTTAAAAGTGGTCTTTTGAAGTTACTGAGACCTTTCAGTATTTAAAAAATAGGGCATTATCCTGGGTGCTTGCAGTTGAACCCTCATTCTGTGACCCTCTCCAGCATTTTTGGTCTAATTTAATGAATAGCAGTGATAAGGAGATTCATATGGCATCTTTTGAAAAATGGTCTAAATTGTTTTGAGTTACGCACAGGTTGAAGATGTTCCTTTCTGATAATTTATTGTAGATCTTCTGTTTGCTTTCCTATTGGATTCTTATGTTTCACGTTTAGATAAGATCTCAACAAAAACAATTTCACAAAATATTGCATTGGTGAAAGAAAGACCAGTTAACACACAATATTGGATTGCTAGTGATGGAGTGGACAAAAAAATCTACTTTCTGTACAGATTGTTGAGATGGGGACACTCAATTATCTGATATACATTAAAGTCTGAAATACTTTCAAATTTAAAAGGCAAATATATGTGTTAGTAATTGGCTGTAGTGATAGGAAAACTGAAGCCATAAATTTCAGTGATCTTGGACATTAATGTCTAGTAGTCACATGGCTTTAAAAAATCTTTTCAAGATCCTGGAATTCCTTACCAGAGGACTTGTGGCTTGACTGTTGTTGTTGCAGCTCTGGAATCGAAGTGAACTTGCTTGTTTAGTCTATAATGCCAAGGGAAAAGCAATGGAACATGAAATCTAGACATAAGCATTCTGAAACCAAAAGCTTTTTATTTATCTAATGGCTATGGGCTTTCAAGAGCAATGGCCTTTCCTTTTATTGATCCTGACCATGAAGGTTTCATGAGTGTTTTTTATAACCTGACAGTTCGCATAGTGTTTGCTGCTACTCACTTTTATGATCACACTTAAATTGCCTTTGGAGTTCCTTTTTCAGGGTGAAGAACTGGTGGTTTTTGTTTGGTTATCAAGAAAAGTGTACATAGTGTCAGCACTTGTGCGGGATATCAAATTGCAAGGCATCAAATGTAGCAGAAGGGAAGCATTAAGAACGCTCATTCGTCCTGTCCTACTCTAAACAAAGAGTCTTCACTTTTCTGGCTATACAAACTTAGTTTTTCTTCAAGTACCATCAATTTGCCCTGTTCAATGTACACTAACATAGCTCTTCAGTGAGTGTTTTGTGTGGAGTGCTGGCCGGCGTTCGTCATGCAGGTATCTCATTATGGGTTCAGGAGGCCATAGGTGACAAGTGTTTTCAGATCACTCACTTCCCTAAACTTGCTGTTAATTTTGCCTTTTATCACCTTATCTAAGCTGTGATTTCACTGAACCATCACAAAAATTTGTCAATATCATGGAATTCCTTGAACAGAGATCTTGACAGCTGTGCCAGAGGTTTGATCAGGCAGTCAGAATTCAGCCTTCCAGTGACATAGTGCTTTTTCCAAATGCTCCCTGTCAATTTCTGGCTGCTTAGATCTCTGGAATCTGCTATGTACTTCCTGTGCTGCTAGACAATGCTATGGAAGGTTGTGATCATGCTCTTTAATGAACTGCTGTGGAAAAAGAAACTGCTGCTCATCTTTTTGTGCCTTACTGGAGATTAGTTCTCAGTCATTTTACAGTATCTGTTTCTGATCGGTCACTTGAGCTGCACAGCTGCCCTCAGGCATTTTAGTCCCAGGCCAGTCAAAGTTCATCTTCAACTGGCTGGCTGTCCCACAGAAACTGGGCCATCTGCTTATTGTTCTGCTGCGTTCAGTTCACAAGTGAAAACTGAAATGCATGCAAAATGTATTTTTAATTGATACAAATGGGTTTCTTTTTAAAATTCACATGAAATACAATTCATGAGTATGGTATTATTTGTCAACGCATTTCACTGGAGCATCCACAGTATTCATTTGATCTTAACTCAAGGAATCTGATCAGCCTCCTTGGAAAGGATTCACCAAATGTACTGACTTAGTTTTGGAAAATGCTGTAACATGAGCGTGCCTCATTCTGCTGGCATAGGCATTCCTGTGATGCTCTAAGATGCCTGCTTTGGTGTCACTACGAGTCCCTGCAGAGGAGCAGGGAAGGTGCATTGACACAACATCTCCCCCTTCCAGGGCAAGCCAATGTTGGAATACAGTTTGCATTCAGGCAGCCACGATTGACTGCTTTTTGCTGGCAAATCAAGAGCTAAACAATCCTTTTTAGTAGTGAAATGGGAAGTATAGGTTGCAAAGCTATGAGAGAGTTATGGTAAATATTTAATAGCTTTCTTTTTCTTGTGCAGCACTAAAAGATGGCTGATCCTGCAGTATTTATTTCAGGCCTACCATAAATAAAGTATGTGGTGACAGCAAACTGCAAGCCAAGGAAATTCAAAGGTTATTGTAAGCTGCTTTCTTTTGTCTGAAGCTGTGAATAGTAAACAATTCTGTACATGTTGTAGGTCTGATGGGCTGGTGGGCATATTTTTATATCAGAACCAGATTTAGGCTGGGTTTATGCTTGAACAAGAATTAGAAGAGAGTAAATATTATAGTTTAAGAGTAAACTTTCTGTAGGCAATTCTCCCAAAAGCACAGACTAAAATATTGAATAGTTGGAGTATTACTGGAAACATTGCCAAAAAGCATTGTAGAAAGTGATTAGTAAAAAACAGACAGAAAATGAAAGTATGGTTTTGGAACTTTCTCTTTTTTTTTCTGGATGATTTTATTACACTGATTAGACTAATAATGCCTTCATTCATTGACTGCTTATATATAGGGGGAGAGTCTGTTCTCATGCGAATGTGACTTTTTTCCTTTTTTTTTTTGAAAGGAATGCTAATGCTAAGTGTTGATTTGCTAGTGTTTTTGTTCTGCTTGCTGAATGCCTGCTGCAGTCTTTCTGGAAACTGAATTCCTGGTGCCAAATGACTGCTCCTTGGGTGAGCAATACTTCCACAGCTCAGGAGTATCCCTTGGGACTCAATAGCTAGGATAGCAGCACTTAAAAGTTTGGGGAGCAAAAGCCATATCAAGACTCCAGTAAGATTTCTGAATTACTACATACAGAAGCAAGTCCTTTGCTATTGTGTCAGTCTAGACTGAGGACATGAATGCCTGCCTCCTACCCACAGTATTCAATAATCCAGCCTTCAGACTTCAAGAAGGTATGTGACTTGCATTTTGGCTTGCATTTGATAAAATTTCATAAGAAGTGTTAGTCTTAGCATATTTTCAAGTACAAATGTTTTCATGTTGCCTTAGAAATACGGTCTGAAATTATATGGCAAGAAAGAAAAAGTATCAGAATATAAAACAAAAAAAACCCCTTTTTTAAAAAAATGAAGCTCTGTACTTTAACCTGTTCCCTTCTTGAATTTTGCAGAAATTGTTTAAATAAGCTAATATGATTCTCAGAGAATTTACATATTGAGCCAGTATTTTCTTTATTTCGTATCAGAAAAAAAAAATTCAAGGCTGATGCCATGTTGGTTATTCAATGTCAAACTCACTGGAGTAATTGTGGTCTAGATTGTGCTGAGGTCTCAGATCATAGACCATGTGGACAATACATTTTGGAGACCTCAAGTTAAAATAGACTAGAACAGTTCAGTGGGAAGGGACCTTCAAAGGTCATTGAGTCTAGATGCCTGACCAGTTCAAGAGCTAACCAAGTTTAACTGCGTTATAAGGACTTAATCCAAATGGCTCCTGAATGCCAACAAGCATAGCGTATCAACCACCTCATTAGGAAACCTGTTCCAATGTCTGACCACCCTCACAGTGGATACATTCTTCCCAATGTCCAGTCTGACTCCACTGGCATAGGGGAGATCTGTTTCTGTGCATCTATCATTGGTTAATGGGAAGAAGAGGTTGGCACCTTCATGTCTTAAACTGAGATGGGGTGGTTTAGGTTGGATATCAGGAGAAAGTTTTTCACACAGAGGGTGGTGATGCACTGGAACAGGCTGCCCAAGGAGGTTGTGGATGCCCCATCCCTGCAGGCATTCAAGGCCAGGCTGGATGTGGCTCTGGGCAGCCTGGTCTGCTGGTTGGTGACTCTGCACATAGCAGGGGGGTTGATGAACACTGTGGTCCTTTTCAACCCAGGCCATTCTATGATTTCTTACCTTCAGGGAGCTGTGGAGAACAATGAAGCTGTCTCAGCCTCTTTTTCTCTTGAGTAGACAATCTGGGTGTCCTCAGCCTTTCCTCAAAGCATGGTTCCTCAGTTGAGTCAGTTGGTAATCTGCATGTACCTGCGTTCAGGAAAGGAATTATAAATTCTACTTTTGGCAAGATAAGAATAGTGGAGTAGTCAGATTCTTACATGCCTTACTTAGTCACAGTATGCGTAAATCCAAAATTTTAATCACATTAATAGAAAAAAAGGAAAGCAACAATAATGGTGAATGTGATGTGTCACTAATTCTTACTTTGCTAGAAATTCAACCCTGGAATTTCCTAGAGCCATTTATCCTCAATATCCAAGTTT